CGGTGTTAATACAAAACAATTGAAGAGATAGTTTCTGTGCCTGGTAATGTGTTAAAACTAGAGTCCAGATTCTGAATGTTTTGTGACAGAAGACCCTATTATACCAGTGAACTTGCATTATTCTACAGGCAAAGAGTATGACTTACTTGATGATAATTTAGATGAAGGAATAGATAACAGTGTGCAAAATCCTTTACCTGAAGGATATAGAAAGCCACCAGTTTTCTCTTCCTCCATCTCACAAAATGAGCAGTTGTTCTGTGAAAGTAAAACTTTAGAATCCATCGATCACTGTGAGCCTGAAAGATTGTCAGAATCTCAATCAAATTTTGATGAGGCTGAGAGCACTTACTTGAAAAGTCCAGTTTTTATGGATGTGACAGATGATAATCTACCTTTTTCTGTGTTTGAGATACACCCAGGGCCTCACGTTTCTCCTGGAGCGGATACTCTATTAACAAATATATCCCACATATCAGAAGCTCAAAGTATACCTCTGTCTTACAGTATGACGAGCACTTCTGTAAGTAAGAGTCCTAAGTGTTTGTTAAACAACCCACAGTATAAGCTAAAAAATCAAGACAGTGCTAGTTTTCGTATTCCTACGGGTGATGATGAAGATTTAGTAGATATTAACACAACTCCTAACATTTCTGCATTCAAGATGTATGAAACAAAACTGTATAAGTGTTTCTACTGTGATGCAGGACCTTACTCTTTACAAAAATTACAACAACACTGGCAAAAAAGACATGTTGATGCAAAATTTTTTGTGAAGAATATGTTTCTTGAAAGTCCTGTTATAGAATACAGATGTTCTTACTGTATGGGAAAAGAGAAATCATTAGCCATGGTGCGTCAGCACTGCAAGCATTGTCATCCGAATTTTCCTGTAAAGTTCATCAAGACAAGGCTAGTGGACTGCGTGCCCAAGTCAGTACCTTGGATTTATGAAGCTCAAAAGATTTGTGATTTGTGATGAATGTAAGGAAATATTGTTTTATTAATTCAGATATAATTTTTATGGTTTTTGGTTTTCTGTTTTTGAGGTTAAAGGTAAGAGATTATACAGATCTTGTTTCTCTTAACTAAAAACTTGTTACATACAGTTTATATCGCATGTCTCAAGATTGGGTAAATGATTGCCAAACTTTTTAATTGTGACTCTTCTAACTTCTGAAAATGCTCGATGTTTATGTGAATATGTACAGAATTTGCAAAATTACTTTAATCATTCAGCAACTTAGGTTCATATGTACAATCAAACCTATATTATTCAGTTCATTATATGAAAAAAGCAAAGCTAATGACCCCCACATCATAGGTTAATGTTCATTTTTGAAATATGTTCGTTAACATACTATTTTGGAGGCAAAATTGCATAAACAACCTAAAAACCAGTTTGTTTGTTTTTTAATTAAAGAATTGGATATTTCTTAATATTGTGCTGTTCGGTTCTTTTAATTTCTTAATGCAGTGTGACTTTATGGTAAAAAATGTGATCTTTAAATGTGAAAACAAAATTAATCAGAATTGTTTTATTGTTCTTTTCCACCTAATTGTTAATTAAACAACTGTCTTTGAGCATACTTAAGTTCTTTATAAAGCAACTGCCATTCGTAAACAGTTTTACCATGTTGGATGCTCGATGAAATTACTCAAAAACTCTTGTAAATTAATGAAAATTAAATCAGCAAATAATTGTTATACGTAAATATTGATCTTGATATCCACATAAAATGTATGTTGTGTTTAATGCCCAAAATAATGCCCAAAATACGTTTATTTCTTATTCTCGCAAAAAATATGTTCACATAAAACTTCAAACATGCTGACAGAAAGGATCCATTGATTTCACATTGCAAGACCTTTGATATATTTATTAATGTAAATGATTATGAAAGAAGTTTGTGTGTGTGTGTGTGTTAGGCAGTTATATTGGCCTACACACTCCACATACATAAATGAGCAACAAGTCACTGAATTTCTGGATGAACAATGAGCTAATACGTCAGACACACTAAGCTTTCCTTTGATCATACTGTATTGCATTTTCACCATAAAGAGCCATAAATTTTGATATCTCTCTACTGGTAATGAGTGTCCACATGTATGCATGCTCAGAACCACATCTACTTGTGAAGCATTCCATTACGTGTGATTTGTATAGCTGTTTATCTTAATTTCCAATTCTCTTTTTGCTAAAATGTGTTCTATTTTATGACAGTTTTTTTTTTTCATAAATTACCCACTATCTTGTATTTCATTTTGAAGAACTTTTAATTCATATCTTCCGTTATTTGAATTTGTCATTTTATATAAAATATTTTCCATGTGACACCTTCCAGTTTTTTCTTCTTTGCCCCATTTGTCCATTTTGAGTTGTTTTCGAACCTGCATAGTGTGGCTCTGTTTGCATCCTCTTTTTTTAATGCAATTTTTTTCTACACCACCCACAGATATCTATCTTTTATCTCATTGTCCAACATCTTCAGTGCCCCCCCACCAGTGGCTCGGCAGTAAGTCTGAAGGTTTATGACACTAAAAACTGGGGTTTGATACCCATGGTGGGCACAGTACAAATAGCCCATTGTATAGCTTTGTGCTTAACAACAAACAAACATCTTCAGCTTTGTGCTTAGCTTTTGTCTGGGTCTCTGTGCAAACGAATAGTTTGAATAATCCAAAATGGTAATAATTGGAAACAATAGTTGATTGTTGTAGTGAAATTAATCATTTTAATGGTAACTTTGATTGATCAATTATTCTATGTGACATTGACCAATGTAAATGATACTGATTGGTAATCGAGTCAATCACCTAGCTCGAATCACAACTGTATTTTAATATTTTTTTAAGTGGATGGAGCAGCCCTGATGGACCAACAGGTCTCTTCTTTGTTGTCCTTCAGTCTTATATGTGTTTGTTACATCCTACGTTTTAATGGACCTTTTGTGTTCTTATTTGACATCTGTATGTGCCACTACTTTTTCTGAGTAGGCTATTCTCTGTTTTCTTAAGGCCATGACTTTATCTCCTTTTGAACTTGTGGCCATATGCCTTTTTCTTTGTTACTATTACTTATATCATATGACCAATTTACTACTATTGTTGGCTTTTGTTTATCATTGTCTCCTGCACTATTCTTCAACAATCAATTGTTCCATTATTTCAATTATTCTGTTACTTCTGAAACAATGGTGGTTTGTGAGAGTGATCAGGTGTGTTCACCTTATCATCCCTTTCATACTTGTTACTCTTATCCAGACAGACTTCTCTACCCTGTCCTCCTATTTGATGCTACTTGACTCCCTCTGAACCAACCCTCATCCTCTTGTCTTGTTGTCACCAGAAGTATGAGACATAGCGAAATGAAAATTGGGTAGATATTCTTATGACAGTGTAAACTTTGAATTTCATGTTAGTAAAGGGGGTAACTTATTACTCACGTGTTTTAAATTATTGTTCATGGTATACTTCACCCAGTGTAAGTATTTAACAAGAGGAACTCCTGAAAGGTAAAGGAAGAAGTGTTTACTGTACTGGTACACCTATACATATAAATACATTGTGAATTTAATTACCTTGTTAATCAGTCGAAATTATCATTTAACAATAACAAAATATCTTTGCATAAAAAAAAACGCGTTAAGTGCAAACTAAAAACCAATGGTTGATGGAGTTATATTTGATGCAGAAAGAATCACTACAACCACAGTTGTCTGTACGCACGTCTCCATTAAGGCTAGGTCAGTCAGTGAAGTCTCACTCGCAAAACATTATCCCATGCATATGGTTTTGTTATGTGGGGAGACGAAAGTGATATTTATTTTAATGATGGGGAATGGTACAGTCCTCTTTTTCCCCCCTCAGTACAAGCACTCAATTCACCAGATGAGGAATGGGATTTGGTCAGAGAAAAACTTAGGAAAACGGAATATTGGCTTATTGTCCATCCAAAACCATTAACACATGCATTTGGATTTTACAAAGTTTACAGAGCATCAGTCTTATTAAAATGTTGATTTGCTAAGGACATTTACAACTGTTTGATTTCTGATTTCATTGTTACCACCAAATATAAATCAATATGATGATGATGATGTAATATTTATTCTGTAAAGTAATTGTTTAACAAGAACATTTATTTTTCATAGTGCGATATGTCCTAATGTTATGAAAAGCCATTATAAGCAAGACTTGCATGTAACTAATCGGTAATATACTATTTGGATACGACACATAAATGTTTATTTGAAAATGATTTCGTATGGATATAAGGAACAAACAAATACATGTTGACTTTGGAAGATTTGTTTGAAAAATGTGTGAAATGTTAATCTACGTATTACAAAATATTAAAAACATTTCAAAGATGTAAATAATTATAATTACCAGTGTTACTTATTGCTATTATCCATAATTTTCAATAAATACTTATGCTAGTGTCTTTAATAATGATTTTGGTATCAACTGGACTTCATTTAATACCCATGATAATAAAGCAATGCCTTTTGAATTGCCAGTAAAAGTTAATATTGGAGACCAGAAGCTCCACACATCAGGTCAAATTATTTGTTTGTATGGGGGTGCATCCATTTTTAAACAGTATTTTGTTGAAAATCGGGTAATTTCGCTTTACGTATTGTGTTAATGTATGTATTGATGTACAATTTTAACTCCAAATAAATTAAATAGATTAAACACCAGTAAGAACCAGAAAAAAAAGAAAGATACAATTTGTTCATGTGTATTTGGTGGTAGTATATGTAGTCAGTAACACCACAACACACACACACAGAGACATACTAGTACTTGAAGAAAATCAAGTTCGTTGGCAGTGTGTGTGTGTGAATTAATAATGTAAAAAAAGAATTGTTGTACTATCTGATCTATGTTATTACTGATATAATTTTATTATTTATTTTGCTAGTCTTCCTCATTTGTTGAACTTCCAGTTTGAATTCATGCTTATGTCAGGAACTATAAACTGCTGGTACGTGTAGGTTTTCACAGATCTGTTATTATTTTCATTTATTTGATTCATATATGTAAAACAGTAGTTGATACAGTATTTTCTTGTCTTGCAAGAGATCTGTTTTTAATTCTGAAGAAAGAATTGCCAGTTATATACACAAAGTAATGAAATCTTTCTTTTGATGGACTTGAAATACATTGAAAAAGTTAAATCATTGTCAGGGTTTTGACCAGTTATGGTGAGGGACTAAATGAAGGGTGATTAGCCAATTATTGAAAACTTATATTAAGGCTTATACCATGAGTAAAGTAAAATTTAAAAATAATAGAATTTTAGATTTCTCAAAACTTTCAAATGTTAATGTAATGAGATTTTCACAATGTTGCAGCACCCATAACCTAAAGAAAATTACTTCATCATAAGCACAAGTTTGCTACATCAATTTTTGATGTGAAGAAATCATGTATTCATTTTTAAACTAATAACAATTCTCTGTTTTCACATCATTCCAACCAAACTACCTGCACATGTCACTTTGTTCTCAATCCTGTCTTATATATGGTTTTATATTAAGTAAAAAAAAAAAAAATAGTTAAAGTTGAATTTTTTTCTAGTAGTGTAAACAAAGAAATTTAAAAGTTTTGACTTCAGAGAGAAATCAGGTTTAATTTTTAAAGTATTACAGCTCTGACAGGCTGAAACAATGAATGTCTTAATCGCTTTGACAGGTTTTTGCTGAATATAGAATGACATGAGAAATTAGTACATTATTCACAGCCTTCAGTACTTCTTTCTACACATGCTTTAGATGTTGTAATACTTCACTCAAAAATTAATGTTTGTTGTATTTTTGTGTTTGTTTTTTTCCTTTTATCAAGACTTCAGTTCTGGAGTTCCTTTTTATCTAAGACAAAAATCCAGTGTTGTAGGAAGCAATATTTTCAAATGTTGCAAAAGAAAACAAATATATGCTCAGCCGTATTTAGAAAGTCTATTCACCCTTCATACACTCAACCAGACCTCTACTTATATCCTGTTACCTGCTGACATTATTTCTGTCACATTTAATCCCTATCATCTTTGTAACGATATATAAACCTTGGATTGCTTGGTATTGATCACACCTTAAGAATACAGACCAATATTCTGTCTAAACATGTAGTATGTTCCACCATCAATGAAACGTTTCCTTATGCTTATAAATCCTTGTTTGCCACCTATTATTAAACGTTAATTTCAACATTGTCAAAATATATCCAAACTAGCAGAACGTATCTCTTAAAAGCTTTTGAAATGGTGGCTGGAACATAGAAGCTCAAAACGTTAGATAGGTATTTTAATGTTGTAAAGAAAACTGCAGGTAATTTTGTAGAGTGGCCATAGGATAAGCTGCAGCAACTATAACATTGTGAACTTAAGGTATAGGCCACTGTCTGAAAAGAGGGTACTAAAAAAGAAGATAACCATGCTAGATCATTCATGATGAATAAGTATCTGACACTATTATATAGGATTCAAGTCCACAGCATAATTCTCAACACAATTAATAAGAGTATGTATCACCATTTGTTCTCCATTGTAACATTATGTCTTATCCTTGCTTGTCCATGCCCCAGTAACCTTTTTGACATGAGAGATCGTGTGTTTCAACAGTGGGACTGGAAGAATTGAGCAAATGCTTACTTAAGTTTGATGAAAGAATCACAGTGGAAAATTTATGATGTCAATTAATCGGTATAGTTTTGTAGTGGGATAAGCTGAAGAAATCAGCACCAGAATAATACTTGGTAAGGATGGTAAAAGGAACAACTAGGGAAGACAAAATTAAGAAGTATTATCTTCTTATCTTGTTCACCTATCTATATGATTTCCATCCAATGATGCACATATTTGATTGCATGTTCACTGGCTACAGTGAGGTCTTTCGCTATGCATGGGACCTGGAACTGTGGGCAGACAAGTAGGTGTTGCCTTATCTGCCTCTCATTGCAGTCACAGGCAGTGGGTCCACTGGAGTACTCCCATTTCACCATGTTGGCTCTAGACTTGCCAACCTGGGAATATAGGCGATTAAGGAGTGTAATGAGGACATAGAAATAGAGGTGGAGAATAAACCATACTCAACATTCAAAAGCTGTGCTATTTGTTGCTATCAAGTTCTGTGGTAATACAATTTTTCGACTGATAACATGATTGAAATGTCCTAAAATATTATTTTGGCCCTGCTTTTCACATAAGTTGCCTACGAGAGAAACTTCTCCACCTTGAAGTTCATCAAGAACCAACTAAGAAATAGTGTATCCAAGGAGCACTTCGAATCGTTCCTGTTAATCGCAACAGAAAAAGGAATTCTTATTAGCCTTGATTTGTGTGGAGTAACTAACAGAGTTGCCAAGCCTGCTCATCTCATAAAGTAACTCACCAGTAGTTTCTTATATTTGTGACTTGTTGCTTGTAGAGATGTACACAGCCGGTTAGTACAGAGATGTACATGTAAGGAGATAGATTTATCGAGTTTACTATACCGAATACTGTATTAGACCTTATTTAAAGTCTTAATTTGTTTCACTTATGAGCAAAAATCCCA